TTTTTTTTTTTTTTTTTTTTTTTTTTTGTCATTTCAGATGTCCTGATAGTCAGTGACCTAGTTGAGAGAAGCAAAGAAAGTCATGGTAGATACTTGTGGCAAGGTGTAATCATCAATGGCAACCGATCATCTGAGGAGAGAGTGGAATTAGGAAAATCACTTAATTTGAGTCCAAAGCATATTTTAAATCTGGTTATAAATAATGGAAACTATTCAGGAGTGGGGCATGAAGAGTTTAACATATGTCAGAATGCACTTCTTCCAGAGACTGATACCATGCATGCTGGAGAAAAACCTGATGAGCGTAATATATCCGAGAAATTACAGAGACATCATGAGCATCTTAGTCAACATCCCAAGATTCCAACTGGGCAACCTTTTGAATATAGTGGAAAAGGAAGATCCTCCAACACAGTGCCAATAATACTTACATGTAAGAAGGTTCATATGAGTTAGACCACCTGTAAATATTGTGAATATGGGAAAGCCTGTAATAAGTCAGCTGTCATTGCCCAAGAGATAACTCAGGTAGAGAAGAAAACTTTTCAATGTGATGTATGTGAGAAAATGTTCTATAAAAAGGCTAAACTTACTCAACACCAGATTATACACACAGGAGAGAAACATGATAAATACAGTGAATGTCAAACATCTTTTAATAAGAAATCATACCTTATCTCATATCAGGGAACATCTACAGGGAAGAGGTTTTATCCATGTAATAAACAGGAGAAATTTTTGTATCAAAAGTCAGACTTTACTGTGCATCACAGAATTCCCATAGAGGAAATGTCCTATGAATTTATTAAGTGTGCCAAAAACTTTCATGAGAATTCACTTCTCAGCTGTCATCAGGCAATTCACACAAGTGAAAAATCTTGTGAATGTAATGGATGTAAAAAATCTTTCTACCATAATTCTACCCTTACTATATGTCAGAGAGTTGACGTGAGCAAGAATCCATGTGAATGTGAAGAAAGTCAGATTTTCTCCAATAAGTCTAAAGTCAAGAAACATGAGAGAATTCACATTGTTGATAAACCCTTTGACTATAACACATGTGAAAAAGTCTTTCACCAGAAATCAAACTTCAGCAAGCATAAGAGAATTTATAAGGAATGTGAAAAAGGTTTTAACCAAAAGTCAAACTGGAAGAGACATCAGAGAATTCACACAGGTGAGAAACCATATGAATGTAAAGAATGTGGAAAAGCTTTTAACCAAAAGTCATCCCTCTTCAGCAAAGGGTGCTGGGATAACTGGTTATCCATTTGCAGGAGATTGAAACTAGACCCACATCTCTCACCATGTACTAAAATCAACTCAAAATGGATCAAGGATTTAAATATACACCCCTAAACAATAAAACTTATTAAAGAAAATATAGGAGAAACCCTTCAGCAAATAGGGCTGGGCACAGACTTCATGAATATGACCCCAAAAGCATGGGCAACCAAAGGAAAAATAAACAAATGGGACTATATCAAACTGAAAAGTTTCTGCACAGCAAAAGAAACAATTAACAGAGCTAAAAGACAGCCAACAGAGTGGGAGAAAATATTTGCAAAATACATGTCTGACAAAGGACTAATATCCAGAATATATAAAGAACTCAAACATCTTTACAAGAAAAAAACAAGCAACCCAATTAAAAAATGGGCAAAAGAGCTAAGTAGGCATTTCTCTAAAGAAGATATGCAAATGGCCAACAGTCATATGAAAAAATGCTCAACATCACTCAGCATCCGGGAAATGCAAATCAAAACCACACTGAGATACCATCTCACCCCAGTTAGGATGGCCAAAATCCAAAAGACGCTAAAAGATAAATGCTGGCGTGGATGCGGAGAAACAGGAACTCTCATACATTGTTGGTGGGAATGCAAAATGGTGCAACCCCTATGGAAAATGGTTTGGAGGTTCCTCAAACAGCTGAAGATAGATCTACCATACGACCCAGCTATCCCACTGCTGGGAATATATCCAAAGGAATGGAAATCATAATTCTACTCTTACTATATGTCAGTTGACATGAGCAAGAATCCATATGAATGTGAAGAAAGTCAGATTTTCTCCAATAAGTCTAAAGTCAAGAAACATGACAGAATTCACATTGTTGAGAAACCCTTTGACTATAACACACGTGGAAAAGTCTTTCACCAGAACTCAAACTTCAGCAAGCATAAGAGAATTTATAAGGAATGTGAAAAAGGTTTTAACCAAAAGTCACTCCTCAGCATTCATCAGAGAATTCATACAGGTGAGAAACCATATGAATGTAGAGAATGTGGGAAGGCTTTTAACTGAAAGTGGGCCCTCAGCAGGCATCAGAGAATTCACACAGGTGAGAAACCATATGAATGTAAAGAATGTGGAAAAGCTTTTAACCAAAAGTCACACCTCAGCATTCATCAGAGAAATCACACAGGTGAGAAACCATATGAATGTGAAAACTGTGGAGAAGCTTTTAACCAAAAGTCAACCCTCAATATGCATCAGAGAATTCACACAGGTGAGAAACCATATCAATGTAAAGAATGTGGAAAAGCTTTTAAACAAAAGGCATCTTTCATCTTGCATCAGAGAATTCACACAGGTTAGAAACCATATGTGTAGAATGTGGAAAAGCTTTTTACCAAAAGTCAACCCTCAGCAGTCATCAGAGAATTCACACAGGTGAGAAATCATATGAATGTCAAAAATGTGGAAAAGCTTTTACCCAAAAGTCACACCTCAGCATGCATCAGAGAATTCACACAGGTGAGAAACCATTTGAATGTAAAGAATGTGGAAAAGCTTTTAACTGAAAGTCACACCTCAGCAGGCATCAGACAGTTCACACAGGTGAGAAGTCCTGTGAATGTAATGAAATGAAGAAAAAGTTTTTTTATAGAGTCATAGCTTAGAAGATATCAGGATACTCACACAGGAAAAACTTTTGAATGTGATATGACAGACCTTTTCCTGGAACTTCTCACAGAAAGGAAAGAATTCACACAAAGGAAAATCTCAGTAAATGTAATTCGTATGGGAAAAGATTTTGGCCAAAGTCATACATCAAGATATCAGGGAATTTACATCAAGAAGACCAATTCACTTTCTGCCATGTACTTTACATCTTGTGTAGATTACTTATAATTCTGGAAGAAATGTGAGTGTTATGTAAATAGTTGTTATTCTGTGTTGTTTTTCAGTTGTGGTATTGTTTCATTTATTTAATGTTTTTATTATTTATTTCTCAGGATTTTTGATAAGCAGTTGGTTGAATCACCAGATGTGTACCATCAGATATGTAAGGAGGACTGTAATTGTGAAAACATTTTTTCTCCAAAGTTTCAAGGCTGGCTATGTTTAGGGCATTGTTGCTTATAGCATTGTGCTCATAACACAAAGGATCCCTATACCAGCCACTCACCATAAAATAAATAAAAGTAAAAAAGGAATCACATCATAGCAGGCGTTAGAGAATTTACACAGGGGAGAAATTTTGTATGGATTAGGCTCTGCTTTTTAAATAAAACCACTCTTCTCTCTTATGTGTAGCCTTCAATCTGAGCATTCCATGATTGGGTGGATGACCATGTAATTTAACTCTGTTTTGGGGAATGTAGATATGTGATGAACATTACTTCCAGTTCAGGCACCACAATAAAAAAAAAAGTTTCTGTGTAGTTCCTGATTTCTCATTTTCTCTGGGACTGAATGAAGATGACTCGGGTGTAATTGGGGGCCAGAGGTGGGAGAAATCCACCCTAATTTAAAATAGAAAGAATTAAAGAAACCAGAGATAGTCTCACAACTATCCCAAAACCTCCATTAACACATTATATAACAAATTATTTCCTTGTTGAGCCATTGTATTTGTGCTCTGTTTGCATTACAACATAACCAGCCCACTCCAGCTAATGATTTTATCAACTTTCTGAGAGACGTTACCAGTCCCTGTAAATGGGAAGAGAATCCTGTGTTTTCACCTGTTATACCCAAATCAATGTATGGGAAAATCAAATTATGGGGAGAAACAATGCAATAAATGTGGAATATCTATCAGAGTCTCTCATTGAACAATGAAAATAAAGTTAAATATCTTTCTGAATTTCTTTAATGTGTCAAAGCTTTCAAGAAAACTTTCAACACTTTCTCTCAGAATTTGAAATGAAGAGAAAACTATCCATCTATGTAACAAATGTAAATTTTCAAATGGAAATGATAAATGGAGTACTAAAAGTATTTTTAACATTTTGAATGTTACCAATATTCAAATATAACTCATGACACTGCCTGCCAGGGGGCATTTGGCTTTGTCTGAAGACATTTTTGATTGTCATAACTGAAGGTTGGGAAGTGCTACTCCATTGAGTGGGAAGACAGACGTTTCTAAACAGCCTGCAATGCACAAAAAAGCCTCCTCATATATGCAACATTTGTGAATAAAAATGTTCTTTGTTAAAAATTTATCTTAATGAAACCCAGTGTAACTATGGGTAGGTAATAGATACAATTAGTATAATAGTTTGATTTGACTTCAGGATTTTTGACATTAACTGCCACTCTAACTTCAGTATATTTTGTTAAATATATTGTCTAAAATACTGCACTATATAGATTTGTTCTTACTCTCCTATTTTAGGTAAATTTGTATGACCAGTATTACAAAACTAAGTAAAGGTAATTTTGTGTGATGTTTGAAGGCAGAGCCAGTCAGTGGGTTGAATAGAAGCGTTTGTATGGGAATGCACAAGTCAGGCACATTTAAACAACTTATCTGAACTCATTTAAACAGCTGTAAACAGGAGGGGGGTTTTTTGTTTTTGTTTTTGTTTTTTGTCCTTTTTGAGACCGGCCACACTGTGCTCAGCCAGTGAGCTCTGTGAGCGCACCGGTCATCCCTATATAGGATCCGAACCCGCGGTGGGAGCGCTGCTGCGCTCCCAGCACCACACCCTCCCGAGTGCACCACAGGCTCGGCCCTAAACAGGAGTTTTTAAAATTCTATTCAGTAAAAATCTGTGTCTGGAAGGAATACTTATTCTTTATTCCTATTCCTCATTTTTTAAAGGGGCCAAATCACAGGTATGAGTGTACTACATGCTGTATACCTGAAAAATCTCGTGTTTCTATTTGCAGCGGTGGAGTGCTATTTTGTATCTTGCCACTTACAGGTAAATCCTGGCTCCACTTGTGTATTGCCTTGTGCTTGGCTCTGCTTGTGTATAGGCTTCCAGACCTAGAGATGGCCCCAGAGCCTGTTTTTACCTGAGAAGCCTTCAGGGTTCTGTGGTGACTCCCTGTCTGCCCTCAGAGCCCTTGGGGTGGGGTAGACCCAGGCCCAAATGATGGGTAATGAGCAAGTAAGACAAAATGTGTCTATCATAGAACCTGTGGGGTGTGGTTGGAGGCAGAGGTTATGGGGTCCTTTTGGGCAGGAAAGTCATTTCCATCTGCCACAATTCTGTCACCAAATCTCTGGCAACAGTGGGCAGAGAGTACAGCACCATCATTTATTGTTCATTTTTCACTCTAATTTTTATTTTCTTTCCGTTTTGGGATGTTTAATTTTCCCCTTTTATCTAGGTTTTTAGTTGGAAGATTTGATTTCAGATCTTTCTAAAATGTATATATTTACAAATATAAATTTTACTCTAAGCCCT